ATGTGGGAATGTGGGCCCGGGAGGCCCCACTGAACTGAAGTCATTCTTTACTGAGCTTTTCCCACGTGTGGCCTGGCCGGCTGCTGCCCCGCCAGCTTGTCTGACCCTCGTGGAAAGCTGCCCGTGTGCTTGGTCGCCTCCCAGCCACGGCAGGGGGAGGCTCAGAGCCGCCGGGTGGGCGCTGGGGCTGGGCGCACAGACAGGGAAGGCAGAACCAGGGTCACCTCCAGAGCCTCAGGCCACCACTCCAGGCCCTCTTCGCCGCGCCCTTGCCTCCCACCAGTGGCTGGGCTGCGTCTCCAGCATCCGGTGGAGACTCAGCCGACGGTGGCCAAGGCCAGAGGTTCCTGGGCGGGGGTGGGGAAGGCCATGAATGAGCAAGTCACGGGAAGTGGGGCCGGGTGGCGAGAACCAGGCTGGCTTTGAGTCCCTAACAGCTTCTCCAGCACCATGGTTAAGAGCACTGGCCTGGCCCTCGCTGGTTTGGCTCAGTGGATGGAGTGTCGGCCGGTGGACTGAAGGGTCCCAGATTCGATTCCGGCCAAGGGCGTGTGCCTGGGCTGTGGGTTCCATCCCCAGTGGGGAGTAAGAGGGGGTCGTGCAGGAGGCAGCCAATCAACGATTCTCATCATTGATGTTTCTATCTCTCTCTCCCTCTCCCTTCCTCTCTGAAACCAATAAAAAACATTTTAAAGAAAAAAAAGACCCCTGGCCTAGAAGCCCAGTAGCTGGGGTTCAAACCCTGTCTTTGTCCCTCAGGCCATTGCCTACCCTCCCTGAGCCTCAGTTTACCGCTCTGGGCAATGGACTGCTTGAGGATCGCCCAGGGCTGATTTATTTGCCCAGGGAACCCTTAGTTCCCGGGACCCCCTCCTTGCAGGAGGAGGGTTTTCACAGAATACAAAATGCTGGGCCTGCCCGCCCTCTTCTCTGGTGAGCTGGAGGCTCTCTAGTTTCCCCCATCAGATGGGAGGTGGGCGGTGCCTCTGGGTGGCAGGTTTATGATCAGGGTTGGGAAAATCTGGTTCAGAATCTGGAAGGCTCAGCCCAGGCCTGGGCGTCCCTTATCGTCTTGGTCACGTCATTCACCCTCCCCGGCCCTAAGGCACTCACTCACCTGCTGAAGAGGACCACGACGGGCGCTCAGGGAATTCTGGGCGCTCAGTGGGTCGTTAGGAGGCTAAGCTCCCCCAACATCAGGGATGGACCTGGATTTGCTACAGAAAATGACTTATCACCGTGACGGACTGGAGATGATGGATCCTGGGACGGTTTGGAACAGCGGTGGCCAAGCAGCCGTCTGCGGACCACTGGTGGTCCCTGAGGTCCGGAAGGCTGGCGACCGCTGGTTTAGAAGCTACTTTTGTCCCCGGTGAGTCTGGAGCCACAGCAGCCTCTTTGTTGCCACCAGAGCAGAACTCCTTGGGGCTGGAGGATCGCCGTGTGGTGTCTGAGTC